CGATCTTTGAATGTTTTATATAATCTAATTGAAATTTATTTATTTTGTATCAAAGAATATCTTATATACAAAAAAAAAAACAAAATGATCAAACTATACCTAACAATAAAATCCGATCGAGTTGTCATCATTATATTTCGTTCATTCATAACATGTTCTTGTTGTTTCATAGCAACAATATGTTGTTTTTTCATTTGTTTTAAAGCATATTTACTTGAATTTCGTATATCTTGTACCTATTTTATATAAATAAATAAATGAATGAATGAAAACGAAAAACAATTTACTAATTCTACACGACCAAAACCACCAACACCTAATGTGCAAACAATTTCAATATCAACTAAACGTAGATTTTTCAAATCTCGTTCATCTTCACCACTAATAAATGTTGTACTAAAATTATTTTTTGTTTTTTTTTTATATTAAATAAAATCTATAAAAATCAAATAACATACTTTTTACGTGCATATTTACATGATTCTTCACGTCGCAATCGAGATAATTCATCTGCTACAATTTCACGATAACTTTGTCTATCAAGTACAAGACATGTTACACCATTTGGATCATCAGCAATAACATTAAATGGTCGAGTTTCTTCTCTAGAGAAAAATATTCATTTTATATTTGATAAGTTTTTAATAATAAATATATCGAAAAAAAAAACAGAAAAAGATGAAAAGTCTGTTTTCAATGCCGAAAAAAATTTATATTATTTTTCATAATACTTCATTATGATCATTGATTTCTCCAAAGATTTAAAATATTTACGTAGTTGTATTGACTTTCATTGTTTAAGCTCATATTAAACGCACAAGAAAACCTTAGTAAGACTAAAATGATTCATCCTCGTAAGCTTTTGAAGCCGAGTCATGATCGTTTTACTAAAGTTTCGATGTATTTTTAGACATCTACCAAGAAATTAAAAATAGAATTACGATATGAAATTTTGCCAATATATGGGTTGGATAACCTATTAAAAATGTCATCTGAAAAGATTGTGCTTTTGTCGAGCATGACATAAAAATCAAGTTTATTTTGAAAATTCAATATTTCAACAAATGAACATTCTAGAAGAGTCATCAGATTGAAAATTCATTAAAACAGCCATAATTCTATTTCAAAAGTCCATAGAGACAAACTCTTTTAAGTTTTTTTCTATGTTTATTAAAACCATTTATTAGGCGGAATATGAATTCAAACAGCATATATCAATTTCAATAGTTTTCTCGTTAAAAACTATTCAAAATTTGAAAATTATTATTTTTTTCTTATTCTAACATATCTTAGATAATTGTATGTTATGAAATCTCTATTATTTTACAATTATCTAGTATAAACATAAGTTTTCATTAGAAAATACTATTATGATTCTATTGCAATCTTATCAATATAAATGAAAAGTATTCATAGACATTTTAATAATCAACTTATATATTGTTTTCATCGTACTTAAAAATTCTTTTCTGTCACCAGATACACATCAATTAGTCGTTTTTTTTTGTATATAGCATGGTGTCCTTGCAAAGATTAATATGACCTTCTCAGAATTTTATATCATCTCTTCACAACAAAACAAAAAAAAAAAAAAACAATGTCTGGAATTGGATATCTAATTTTAAACTCAATTGAGATCATATATAATAGATATATAAAAATTAAATTTTTTGTTCATTTTAACTTACGATTGAAGTGCAGCTTCACCAAATGATTCTCCACGTTCAAGATGTCGATCATAAATAGGTGTATCCCATTTTGAACTTGCTTTAGTAATTTGAGCACGTCCTATTCAATTTTAAAATAATATTTTTTTTTTAAATTTTGTATTAAAAACTTAAAAATTACCTTTGGCAACAATATAAAATGTATCACCTTTTGCACCTTGTCGTATTATATATGCACCATTAGTATACCTAACTTCATCGAATGTATCAACGACTTTACTAAGAATATCTTCACGTAAATTTTCAAAAGTTTTAATACTAGACAAAACAAAAAAAACAACAATAAAATATTAATGAAAATTTAAAATTAAATATACTTTTTAATTAATTCTAAATGTTCACTTCGTTTTTCCATACCAGCTCTCATCATAATAGCTTGAAATGTTTGTCGATCAACTGCCCATAATTTACAATTCGATAAAGCTAAATTATTAAATTTTGATTAGTCATATAATTCATTTATTATTATTTATTTACCTTTAATCGAAGCAGTTCGAGTACAATTATATAAAATAGCTAATTCACCAAATACTCGTCCTGGACCGATTGTTGTTAATACTTTTTTATTTTTACTTACTTCAACCATTCCTTCTATAATTTAAAAAAAAAACAAAAAATTAGATAAATAAAATTTATCTTTTAATTTATTACCTTCCATAATATAAACAAGATTTCCAACATCACCTTCTATAATTATTAAATTATCCTTTGTATGTTCAAGTGGATGCATACAATCAACAATTAACATAATCTGATCCAATGCAAGATTTTTCATAAAATCATTATTTAATATAGCATCTCGTAAAAATTCTTTTGTTCTATTAAACAAAGACAAAAATATTGATGGAAGTACTTTAATTCTTTATAAAAAAATTTTTCTCTATATGGACTAAGCATGAAAAAAAAACTGTTTCTTATCAGAAAGTAAACAGCAAAAATACTTTTTTTTTTGTTTTGTTTTACAGAAACTGCTAGAAAAATCACTTCGAGTTTTGATTAGAATATCTATAACTTCGGAATGATTAATTCTAAACATTTTAACCTTTTGTAATTCTTTCATTAGTAGTTTGAATACATAACTAACAATTAAGAATTCGCTGTAAACATCTCACGGGATAGGTTTGTTTTCAAAGATGTCTATTGAAAATCTCAAGAGAAAAGAAACTCGATTTATCTTTTCTTTCGAACGATGAAAATCACAACTCTCTACCTTGTTTCTATTACAAGTTATTCAAAAAAAAAAAATATCTACAAATTAGACATTAATATATAACCGTCACATAACATAGGAAAAAAAAACAGATGTTATCAAAATTTTATTATTATGATATTACATGAAGAATGATGTAACAGCATAGAAGAATAGAACATCGTTTTTAACTATCAATTCATATATAGAGAAAAAATTTCTTTAAGTTTTTTATAAGAAACTTTCGTCACTAGTTTCAGATTGTTCTAAGTATGTCATTAGTCGTTTAATAAATTTTCACTTGTTTGAATATTATTTCTGCAAAATGATTAATGGATAAATCGATTCAACTCTTCGATTATGGTAAAAACATCTGGTTCTTTCTTTTCAGTATATATTGATATTTCTCTCCATTTATCAACTTAATTATTCAATTAGACAATGAGACTTTTTTTTTTGTTATAATAAATATCTACTACTATTTATTCGATTTGATTGAATTGAGAATTTATATATATCTTACCGATCGGATTTATCACATGCTTGAAGAACAATACGTAAATCTTTGGATTTTTTATGTTGAACTGGTTCAGCACTAATAGCTGTACGTTTTGTACGTTGATGTTTTGTTGTTGAAGGTCCATCAAGAAAAGATGTTCTTGCTGATGTTGAAATATCAATACCATCATTAAAATCAGTTGATGAAACAAATGTTGTATCATATTTTAAAATTTCTTGTTCAAGTTTTAATATATATGCATCTTTTTCTTTAATAATTAATTCTTTCATTGAAATAACTTCATCTTTTTTTTGTAATTGATTATCATAATCAGTACGTAAATTATTTATTGTATTTTCTGCATCTTCTAATTTTTTAGCACTATCCCGCAGTGCTAACCGCAGATCATGTATTGATTGAGTCATCGATTTGTAATGATTGTCGACATGTGGGAATGATCAATTACGTAAAACAAAAAAAAAAAATTGGCTTTGTTCTATTTCCTCTTATGTGCACTGATGAGACCGCGAAATAGTCGTGATGCTTGAGATTCTACTACTATTGCTGTTGTTATCGTCGTCGTGTCGTCATGCTTCTCCATATCAACACATTGACTTACGTCATCAAAAACGAACGAATGATGAGAACGACAAACGGGATAGAGAAGAAGAAAAAAAAAAAAGTCTTGCACTAGTCTCTTCTGTATATAAGGCATGGCATCGACGTCATCGAACTATCATCATTATATATTAACTAATTTTTCCTTCCGCCTATTTCTTCTTCTTTTTCTACTCAATATTCATGTATATATGCGTGTTGAGTGCTATGTTAGATGAATGAATAATACTTGCTTTTTTTTTCTTAAGTATTGGTATCCTCTTTGTTGGAAGTTCTCGTTTTCTTTTTGCTTCTTTCTATGAATATATAGAGACAAGAAAAAAAAAAAATTATGCTAGAGATATTTCTAATAACGACTGCTTCTGATGTTGATGTTTGAAGATAGACAGAATAAAACTAATTCCACTTCTTCTTTAACAAACTTTTTGACATCTATTTATACGACTGTTCGTTCTTTCAAATATCCATCAAGTACACCAATCTTATTTGTGATAGAATGGCAATCTTTATTAAATAGAAATATCATTTTTTCTTCTACTATTTTAATATTGATGGTGTCATTAATAGTAATTGATTGAGATTATATTTATTCGTTTGTCTTTTTCTTTTTGCTAATTGTAATCTATTCGAGTAAATGCACATTGTAATTGACAATAGACTTCAGTTGAATTTCGGTATGAATGAATGGTTATATAGCACTCGTTGCTTTTATTACTTACCTTCGAGTCTGATTGAACATAGATAAATGAAAAATTGTCATTTTACTATGGATAGATAAGAAATTTTTATATATATATATATATTATTAATTTATCACAATCATTGTTTCTATATTGTGTATAAAGAAATCACTTTTGTATATTTATATCTCATGAGAATTATTCGAATATCATCTATATGTTTGTCTTTTATTGATTATATTAACGAATAAACATGGACAATTTTATTTTTGTTCTAATTTGACAACATGAGAGGTTTAGAAATTTATTTTAATATCGAAAATAGAATAAATAAATCTAAAGACAAAAATTATATTCCATTATTGTTGATATTATTATGCATAATTAATATTCATATATATCCAAAGAGATGAAAGAAAAATGTTTGCGTGATGAATCAATGAAAATTAGTAAAAATGACAAACATCATGCAGGTGTATTATTAATTCAATCTTCTTAATTTTGTTAATCGAAATATAATGATCACGAGATAACGTGAAACAAAAAAAAAACAATATTATTGTATTTTGCAGTGCATTCTATATATAAACAACAAGAATTGTTGAATAATAATATTAAATATTAAAAGCGAATTTATCTTTCTTTTTTTGTTGATGTCATCATCATTTATGACGTCAAAACTTTTTGTTGAAAGACATGAAGTTGAAAAGAAATAATTAAGAAATCAATACCAAAAAAATATTTTATAAATACTATTAATTTAAGTTTTAAAAGACTCAATTAATAATTAATTTATATATCAGATATTTAAGAAACATATTCCTATTATTTATTCAAACTATTTATGACAGTAATCAATCATTGTTTATTGACAATAAATTACAAAGAACGCGAAAATAAGTGATAACTATTTTATGATTGATAAAGTTCTTTGTTATTTAAGTGACAAAATTATAAATAGTTTTGTATAGATTTTTATTTAGTAATAAAAATACTTGTGAATATTCATTATTCTAAACAGTAGCAATACATCATGAGATGACTTTCATATAAAAACACAACCACATATCTCACTCATACACTATAGCTATGAGTCTCATACGGTTTATTTTCCAGCAAAATAGAAAACTTTTTAATATTTTATCTGATAGTCAATGTGATATCCACGACCATAGTAAATTATTCAACAAAGCTTTGGCTGCCGATTCTTCATAGTATAGTCGATTACAATCTGTTCTGTTTAATAAAATTTTTCAATCTATTCAATATTGATACCAGTTTTTTTTTCCTAATTGATTTTCGGTAATTCTCTAAATCGAATGATAGTCTGTTGAAGTAACGTCCAAATGTTTCATGTTATAACTTCGATGTTATGTGCTTTCATATAAGTAATAATCTCTTGTGGTATATAACTAGGCGCATTATTTTCTTTCGTGTATTACGAATATATAGACCGAGGAATATAGCATTTGATAAATGATTTTATTATATGTTCAATGAAATATTCGGAGATAATTGTTGAACCACATTCAATAAAATTTGAATGAGTTATACCATATCTGTTCACACCGTTTCAAACCAACACAGTCATAGAGTGTATATGATTTTGTTCGATTTTTTCAACTTCTCTTGGTGATTCATTAGGACTAATATAATATATATCTTTAACACCTTGACTTACATCAAGGTAAGATCAAGTATCGTCATTAGTTACATCATTCTTATGTTTCATTGCATAATTGACGATGGATATGTCAAGACTTGGATCATTTCTTCTCAATAACAACTGGATATAATCGATATACCGGTGTTTTCTTACAATACTCTGCATGAATAACATGAAACGTAGTATCAACATTACAATAACACATTGCAACTATTAAGGAAATTTTCGGAGGATGTTTTTTATTAATGTACTACTGCCATGCGATTAACAATTGCAATTGTTACTGTATTAGTTTCTAATAATTATTGTTGATCAACAGAATATAAACATTTTTTCGCCGAAAAATATTAACAATATCTGCGGTGTTATCAATTATTTTATTACGGAGCATTCTTGCTTAATGCAGGTGCTCACCAAGTGAGTACTCGCGGATTTTGAGTATTTACTATGTGATATTTGTCAAGTGAAAATTTTGTCTCGAAAGTTTTAAGTAAATCACTTAGACTTATATTGAAATACATAGATAGATCTTATTATAAACTACAGTAGGATTGATTAATCAGTACATCTCTCTTTGAGAAAACCAAATCTCAATTATTTCAAAAATGTTTCCTGAGCAAATTATGACCGAAGATAACTGCAATATTTAGCTTTCAAATGACTAATAATTGAATAATAGACATACAAAACCAACTAAGATATGTAAAAAGTTTTTGTCGGTGTTTAAAATAGCGGTAAAAAAAAGAAGAAAGATGCGCACCGAAATATAAGGATGGAATAAGTGGACAAGCAGAAGAATGATGCACAGAGATGTTTAGAGTTAATCAATATTAGAAGAACGGTACAGAAACATTGTACAAAACGATAAAAAAAATCTCAATTTTCTCCTCTATTACTTTCAAGAAGAAAATCTTCTACATGCAATTCAAAAGCGTTTCTACATAATTCGAATGATGAAAGTGTTTTTATCGAAGCAAACATTTCTAATCGGTTAATGAAAGTTTTGTTTTTTATGCCGATGTTTTCCAAAAACAAAACTGCCGTCAAATAGAACTTGTGATATTTATTAAGAACTTTTTTACTATCGAAGATGGTCATGCTCATGTGGATTAGTCAGAAACGAAACGTTTTAGACATAGAAAAACCCTTATAACGTATTGCTGCAATTATAGATCAAAGATTTTTTTTTTTGATCGACTATGATTGTATAGTCGTTATCTTTTCACAAACCAAAACTATTTTGTTTTTACTTTATGGTCTGTTCGAGAAAATTCATTTAATCTTAAATGTTGGGAATAAACTAACAGATTATTATGCCATACTTGTTTTTTCGTCCTTTTAATGGATAAAGCTAGCAAAAAAATTCGATTGATTATGGAAGAAGTGTCATATTCTCACCCTTGAAATAAATAACAACAAAGAAGGATATTTGAACTTTTGAAAATATTTTATTTATTCAAAAAGGTTTCTTTCATGAACAATCTCGACCGGATCGTGATAATTATGTTAAAATTAATCTCGAAAATATTGATCCAAGTAAGAAAAAGAAAAGATTATTATTGAAAAAAAATAAATATTTATTTATTTTATTAATATAGATTTGACATATAATTTTGATAAATATGATAGTTCAATAGTAAATACACAAAATACTCCGTATGATTATGCATCAGTAATGCATTATGAACCCGATGCTTTTTCATCAAATAGTTTTCCAACAATTGAATCAATTCAACCAAATGTTACATTTGGACAACGTTATAATATGAGTACTATCGATATTCTAGAAGTTCGATCATTTTATAATTGTTTATCAAGTGGTATTACATTTCCACCAATGCCTACAACTACAACAGGTTGTATAGAATAATTATTTTTTAAAAATTTAATATCATCTTCGAATATAAATCCATGAACATTTTCTTAGAATTTTCATATTTCGGATATATAAATAGAAGTAGTTTTTTAATTGGTTAGAGGGAAAGAAAAACATTTTATTTACTAAACTTCTCGTGTACTAAATATATAATTATTTATTAAATAGTTAATTTATATATGATGAATGTAACTTTATCATCATCATTGACGAACAACAGTGAAACATTTAATCATCCTTATGGTCAAGGTATGATTTATTACTATGAAGTATTTGAAGTGACTGTTCCAGTAGATGGTGATTATATTATACTTAAGTCTCATAGTTCAATTCCTACATCTGGACTTATATATAAGGAAAATTTTTATGCAAATTCACCAAATATTAATTTACTTGCAATAGGTTATGATAGTGATGAAAATATACAATTTCAGTTCAATTTATATTTTAAATCTAATACACGATATATATTAGTTATTACAACAGTTACTTCACAAACCACTGGAAATTACACATTATTAGCATCTGGATTAAATCGGGTTAATCTTCTTCAAATAAATAGTTCTTCAATTGTATCAACAACAACAACAACAACCGGTAAGTTAATTCTATTCATCTTTTTCTATGGCAACTACACAATTATTCTTCTAACAAGGAAATCTCTTCAACTGTTAAATTGCTTTTAAGTAGAAAAGCATTAGATTATAGGTTATCGATCATGCTGAGATTTCGAATATTACTATGCCTTTCGCGACTAGTTTTATAGAAACTCAGCTTAACAGAGCGAAAAACTTTTTTTTGATTTTATCACATTGTAGAGTGCGTGGAGTTGTGCTTAGAAAGATGTTTTTTTTTCCATTTCGAAACGATCATAAGTAGTTTTTTCTTGCATTCTGTGACTTGTGTAAAAGTTGTAGGTAAAAGAGAAAATTACGATTGTAGTAGTGTTTATAATCGTTCTAGAGTGAAAAAGAAAAGTCTAACAGCAGCTGGCATAGCGATATTTGGAATCAGCATGGTCAATAACCTACAACTTAATGCTTTTCGGCTCAAAATCGATTTGGCAGTTGGAGAGGTTCTCTCATAAGAAAACTTATAATAATAATAAAAATATTTGTTTATATAATCCTAAAAAACATTTTAGACGTGTCTAAATGAGTTTTTTTTTTGTAAAATAATGACGTTTCAATGCAATTTATCTTTAAATATACATTCATTCTAAATTTTTTCGAACATACATTTTCCACGGCATGAGCTGCTTCCAGTTACAGGCTAGTTCATTAAATGAGTATAAATGTAATGACGAATGACGAATCCGATTGCATGTATTCAGCTCGATAATAGTATTAAAATCTTCTTGAGAATTATCGAAAAGATACAACTAAACTTCTTGTATATCTGATATAATGGATTTCTCTAAATATGAATAATGTTAAATCTTATCGGATTCTATATGACTTCTATCGGATTCCGATAAGATTCAACAAAATCCGATAGTATCCTATATGATTTCGTTGAAATTCGAGTTGCGGATTCACTCACAGATTCATAAGATTGGATTTGGTCGGAAGCCTTAAGAAATCCGAAAAAATTTCGACACGAAGTTTTCGTGAGCGATTCCATAATCTGGATTCTCATCGGATTGTGTCGGCTGGTCGGATCGGATTCATCCACCTGGATAACTCAATGATAAGTTCCTTTCAATAAATAGTTGTTTATAATTTTTAGTACCGAATTGAATTGATTTAAACTTTCCTTTTCGATCATTCGAAAGACAAGAGGCAGATTGACATTGATCCATATAAGATCTATGTATAAAATATATTTTTAAAAAATCTATTCTTTTAGAACATTCAGTATTTTCTACGATTTACTTTTTTTAGAGTTTTTATTTTAACTTCATTATATATTTTCTGATCAAATGAAGTCAAAGGTGATCCTTGAAAATTAATTCTGTCTTTTGTTAAAATAAAAAAAAATGTACTAGATGGGATAAATGGATATATTCGATAGTTAATAACGTCAAATTATGTAGATTATCTATTCCTAAATCAGAATTATTTTTTAACAGACTTAACTTTTAAATTTTGATTTAAACTGCTTATGTAATTGAAGATATCCTTTTGAATATACATATTTAATTGATTTTTTTGTGATAAAAATAGTCAAATATTATCATATAAAAATGTAATTTTATCTATTTTAATTATTGTCTTATTTCAATTTTTGATACTATCAAGAATATTATTTATATATTTAATAACTAATAATTAATAGATAAATCAATCTATACGATAATATATATAATTATTTATTTAAGCGCCAAATACCGAATTTGTTATCTCAACATATTCAAGTGCATTGACCATAAATAGTCCTACATATGATCGATTTGGTGGTTTTGGCATGTATTATTACGAAGCAATAATGATATCTGTACCTGAAACTGGTTATTATGCAGTTGGAAGTAATAACACTATTAATACTTATGGATATTTATATTTAAACAGTTTTAATCCATCGAACATAGCGGAAAATTTAATTACTGGAGATGATGATAAGGCAGGCAATTCTCAATTTGCAATAGTATATGAATTTAAATCTATGACAACATATATTTTGATCGTAACTACACATGATCCAGTAGTCATTGGACCGCTCTTAATTTTGGCAGAGGGTCCAAAAGCAGTTACATTTACTTCCATGAAGAATATATCAACAACAACAACAACAACATCAACAACTCCACCAATATCAACAACTCGATCAACATCGACAACATCGCCTAGAGGCTGTGAGTAAACTATAAAAACTAATGATTCTTAAGCAAGATTCTTTTGTTTTTTTATTTATTTAAGAAATTTTTTAGAGTTTTGTACTATTACCTTTGTTATTACAGTGTAAAACAATGTGTGATACTATCCATTACAGTACTATTTGTACATTTTCTTACATTTGAGTATTCTTATGAAACGATTTGTTAATTGAATAATTCTTGAAAATAACAAAAAAAATCTAATTATTAAAAGAAGGACAACTGTTACAAGTGATCGATCATTTCATTTCTACTTTTTTGTTTGTAACAAATTATTTAGAGTATATTAAAAGTAATGAGATCAGCACTATAATATCGTATAGAAAGCTCGAGGCAATTTTTTTCCCGTATATATTGATAGTCCAAACAGTGTCGTATATTTCTTTCATATTTCATCATTCTTTAGTTATGGTTCAGACCAGTTTACATTTGTAATATAAGGATCTTCATTTATAAAGCCATGAATTTGTTCGATATTTTGAGATGTTGTCTCGGTTACAGACCTACTAGGTTGTGTTTCATCTTCGATTTTCACGGAACCATTCAAGTCTCCTGAATGGTGGAATCTAGTCGTTGGAAATCAGACGTAGCCCTTCATGAATAAGTTTTGATTGAATAGGAAATGTAGTGCAAATTTTAAATATAAGAGCAAAAGCTTTTTATACCCATTTAAATTACAGATGAAGAGACTATATATAATAAGATTAAATCTATTTTAAAAAAAATGATTACTTTTATTTAGTTGTTCCATGAGAGATTAGCTCAATAAAAATCTATACAATTTTAGAATGTAGAAAAAAAAAACATTGTTTAAATGATTATATTTATTTGTTTAGCATCAGCTTCAACAAAATCCAATATTATTACAATTCATCTTTTTCTTTATATTATATTTGGATATGTTCTTGCTTATTTTATCTAAATATAAAATTATCAAAAATGAAAACAACATATTACTAACATTTTATACTAACACAAAATATATAATCTTTTTAAAATGGAACGAATATATTTATCTTAATAATTTCTTTACTAAATGTTAAATTTCTCTTTTTCTATCTCAGCTTAATCACAAATATTCTTTGGTTAATTTCGAATATATTTTTTTTTTCACTTTTAAATAAAAAGTGTATCTGATATATTTGTGAATATAAGTTTAATTACATCTAAAAGAGATGATATATATAAGTATGTTCATAAATACTTCGTAACTTGGATTATTTTTGATCGATTTGTAGTGAATGAAATAAAAAGTGACTTTTTAAGAAATGTTTTATTTTAAATCAATTGAAAAATAGATCGACTTATATTTCTATAATACAAATCAATCTGCTAGTATCAACTTTTGTTTTTCACTAATCATCTAAGTCACAGTAATATAAGATTTAATTGATGTACTTACTAAAAAAAAAATAATAGATAAATGCAGAGATATTTTCGCCGACGCGTTTCGTATTATTTATTAAAATATTGAAACACTCATTCATGGTCTGCATTACAAGTGATAAGTAAAAATTACAAATGAAATAAAAAAGGAGCAAAAATTTAATCAAAGAAAAATGGCTAGAAACCATGACAAATCTTTAAGGAGGAGAAGGTTGAAGTTTATTGTAGGCTTGAATGAAGATGTATATGTGTGTGAACAAAACTACCGCACTCGCATTCACCCACATCCAGGGTATGCATTTTTCTTTAAATATAGTGCAAAAATAATTCATATTTACAACGCTGTGCCTACGTAAAACATCAAATCGATTAAATAAGTTTATTTATTGAAAACAGATCTCAATAGTAGTGTATAGAAAATGACTAACGTAATTTAGATATATTATAGTTCGTCACTCTAGAAAAAGCAAGAATATAATTAGTTAATCAATAATAAGTTTTGAAATCTATCTGCTGAACAAGCACTTTTATCGATAGTAAATTTAAGAATGCGAACATTCATATTATCGAGAACATATAAGTTTCTATGCCGATCAAATACCAAATCAGTTGCACGTGATCTATAAGATGTGTCATCACCCCATCCTGGTCAACCGAGAATAATATTGCCTGATGTAGAACCTTCAAACGAACGTGTTACTCGATCATTACCGTAATCAAGAACATAGACAGTGCTTGAATCGTTAACGACCACCGACTGTGGTGCAATCAATTGATTCTTGGCAGGTCCTTGTTCATTACCACCAACTACAACAATGCCTTATGTAGCATCAGTGGGCCATTTTATCACCTGTTAATTAAAATTGTTGGCCACATATACTGACTTATTTCGATCGACAAATATGTGTTTGGGATCGTTTAATTGATTCATATCAAATCCTTGTCCATTTTCACCAGCAATTATTTGTTTACCAGGCCATTTGACTATACTATTATAAACTTGATCAGA